TGGTCACTTCCCGTCTGCGTCTGTCCTCCGCTAAGCGGCAGCTAACCCGCTAACCTCTTCAGGGGCGGGGCATCGACGACCCGGCCGAGATCATCTTCGAGATGTCCAAGGAGGAGAGGAAGGACTTCTACCGCTCCGTGGCGCTCGGCCTCAACCGCCCGCTGTTCGCCGTGTACCGCCGGGTTCTCCGGATGTACGACAACCGGAACCACGTGGGGAAGTGAGTCCCCTGGGGGGGGGGGAGACACACCCTCTCTTGTCACCGGGCGCACTTAACCGCCCCCCTCCCTTTCCCAGGTACACCGCGGAAGGAATCGAAGAGCTTGAAGCGTGAGTGGAGACTCCGCCGCCGGAGCCCCAGGGACGAGAGGTCGGGCGTTTCTAAGCTGTGCTCTTTCTGCAGGCTGAGGGACAAAACACGGCAACGACTGGGCCACCATCGGGGGGGCGCTGGGCCCGCAGCGCCTCTCTCCGTCAAAGACCGCTGCCGCCTGATGAAGGACACCTGCAACACAGGTGAGGACCCCCCCCGCGTGACCTACGGCCAGAGAGTCCGTCTGGACCCGCCCTCATGTCCCCCTCCCGCCCCCCCAAACAGGTAAGTGGAGCGAGGAGGAGGAGCGGCGTCTGGCCGAGGTCGTGTACGAGATGGCGGGCGCGTCGCCGGGGTCGGCGGTCACCGGGGGCGTGTCCTGGGCGACGGTGGCCGAACAGGTCCGCACGCGCTCAGAGAAGCAGTGCCGGTCCAAGTGGCTCAACTACCTGAACTGGAAGCACAGCGGGGGCACCGAGTGGACGAAGGAGGACGACCTGGGCCTCGTACGCAGGTACCCCCCCCCCCCCACCCAGTGTGGGTGTGTGTGTGTGTGTGTGTGTGTGTGTGTGTGACCTCCATCATGTGCTGCAGGATATCGGAGCTGGAGGTGGAGGACGAGAACGAGATCAAGTGGGAGGACCTGGCGGGCGGGTGGAGCAGCGTCCGCTCCCCCCAGTGGACTCGCGATCCAAGTGGTGGAGCATCAAGAGACAAGTAGCCAATCACAAGGAGATCCCCTTCAGCGGTACGCACACACACGCACACACTCACACACACACACACACACTCACACACACACACACACGCACACACACACACACACACACACACGCACACCATGATGATCAATGACCCCCCCGTCCTCAGTCCTCCTGAAGGGTCTCCAGGAGCTGATGGCGTCCTCACAGGTGGCCTCCGGACCAGGTAGCCCCTCCTCCTCCTCCTCCTCTTCGCTCCAGATCCGACTCACCCGATTGGACGAGAGTGTTGGCCCCGCCCCCGGGTCTGTGACGGCGCTGCAGATCCCGCTGCAGATCACACACCTGGGTGAGGATCCACGGCGCCCGCTCGTTCCCCCCCCCCCGAGCTTTCACTTCCTGTCTGACACGTCTGCTTCTTCCCCAAGCTTCAGACTCCTCGACGGCGGCCGGCGACGGTGACGCCATCACGCTGAACGCCGGCGCCCTGCAGACCTTCGAGTTACTGCCGGTGAGCGGCAGACGCACGGATGCAGGTATGAAAGGTCCCGACGTGAGATCCGTCTGAACGAGTCTCTTGCTCCCGGCAGTCGTTCCACCTGCAGCCCACCGGCACCCCGGGGACCTACTACCTGCAGACCACCGCCCAGGGGCTCCCGCTCAGCTTGGCCGCCAACGGCACGGTCACCCTGACGACGGGCCCCTCGCCCCCGTCGCAGGAGCACATCATCCTGCACGGGCTGTCGGTGGGTTCCCCACCACGTCGGCCGCGAGGCGCCTGTTGTTGTTGTTTTGGTTGTTTCATCTTGTTTTTCTCAGACGGACGGCCTCTGCTCCGCCGACGGCGTCATCATCCAGACCGTCACCTCGGACCACGCCTCCTGCAACCCCCTCGGCCAACCGCAGCTGGTTGTGGAGACGGAGGGGCGTAGCCAGGAGGAAAGGCTCGATGCCACGAGTCTCCTTGAGGGGTCGGAGGGCGTTGTCACGGGAACGCCAGAGCCAATGACGGACGGCTTCACAGACAAGGTAGTACGCAGTCAGGAAGTACATGCCTGCATTGGAGTTTTTCAAATTAAAAGCACAAATTGGCCCACAATGACTATTGAATTTACAAGATATAAGTTTTTAATTGTATTCATTTTAATCTTCATTGTGTGTCTGTGTGTCAGGAGCTGAGCTCACCTTCTGTTGGGGGTCCAGAGGTGCATTCTGGGATAACATCTGGCAGCGCCGTGCTGAGCGTGTCTCCTCCCAACATCAGCAGCACGCTGACAGGTGACACACATGGGGAGGGGAGTGCGTGCTAGGCGGGGCCGGCTGGTGGTTGGTGGAGGACGGGGGAGGCGGGTGTTCACCTGCTCTGTGCAGACAGCTGGTCAAGTCAGCCAGAGGAGCGTCGTGTAATTAAAAAGTGATTAAGCGCCACTTCTTCTTCTAGGGTTCTTCTCTCTATTGGCGGATCAAAACAAACGAGGAGGATTCCTGCCAGAACGGCGCTACATGATATATATAGAAAAGCAAGCTCATCCTTCTCCGTCTTTGTCCTCAGATCCGATTCTGGAGAACCAGGAAGGATCTGACTGAGCTGAACGCCACCGCAGACTCTCAGGATGAGGTCACTTCCTGTGTGTGTTCATGTAGCTCTTTCAACCAAGTGGACGTTGTGAATTAAACGGAACTGTAAGTTTGAAGCTCCACACCGAACGCAGCGAGACGTCCTCCTCGTGATGTCCTCCAGAAGGCGTCTTCTGCGAGGCGTCCTCCAAAGGGTGTTCTCTGAAGTCCTCCACGAGGCGTCCTCCAGAAGCTGTCCTCCGGTAGGCGTCACACACGAGGCGTCCTCCAAAGGGTGTTCTCTGAAGGAAGTCCTCCACGAGGCGTCCTCCAGAAGCTGTCCTCCGGTAGGCGTCACACACGAGGCGTCCTCCAGAAGCTGTCCTCAGTAGGCGTCACACACGAGGCGTCCTCCAGAAGATGTCCTCCGGTAGGCGTCACACACGAGGCGTCCTCCAGAAGCTGTCCTCAGTAGGCGTCACACACGAGGCGTCCTCCAGAAGCTGTCCTCAGTAGGCGTCACACACGAGTCGTCCTCCAGAAGATGTCCTCCAGTAGGCGTCACACACGAGGCGTCCTCCAAATGGTGTTCTCTGATAGAAGTCCTCCACGAGGCGTCTTCCAGAAGATGTCCCCCATATGATGTCATCTGCAAGCTGTCATCCAGAAACCGTCCTCCACAAGGCGTCCCCTAGGTGGTGTCTTCCAGGAGATGTCCCCCACGAGGCGTCCTCCAAAAGATGTTTTACAGACTTCCTCCACAAGTGCCAAAGAGACTCTGACTTAACAGACACTTGTCCTTTAAATTAAGAATATGTTGATGCTTGTGTATAAATATATATATATATTAAATAAACATAAGGACGAACAAATTACTGTTTTTGTCATGTGATTCATGTGTGTGTATATGTGTATATATATATATGTATGTATATATATATATATACATATATATATATATATAGATAGATAGTAGTTCCCTCCGTAGCCAGCAGGGGGCGGCGGCGGGATGCAGAGAAAACACTCACAGTCGGATAGTTTCAGGTTTATTGCAGGCACGGCGGGTCGGTTATGAAGCAACACACTGATACATCGTGTGTATCGTATCACGTGTACGTCATCGATATCACACTGTGCAAACTGTAGAACACACACATGGATATTTGGTGAGGAAGAGGAGGAAGAGAAGGAGCTTCACTGACCTCACTGTTAAAACGGGCCGACACCGGAGCCTCTCTCCACCCGATACGCATCTGTGTACATGTACTGGGTATAAATACGCGTACCGGGTACAGATGCTGTGTGAACTAAGACGGCCTGAGGTCACGGGTTTGATTCCCGGTTCACTGGTTTCCCATTTTAACCAGTGGTTCACAAACCTTTGGCCAAAGCATAAGAGACTTTTCTACTTTCCTCAAAAATACTCATTTTTCAAATCTAACCTTTGACCTTCAAGGCTTTGTCCTTGTTTGCGTTTGGGGGATGATGAAACACTGAGTTCTCACAATGAGGTAAACAAATGTGGGCAACAGAACATTTTTATCATATATTTTGACAAATTGGTGGATGTATTGAATTTACTCTGATACTGAACTAAAGATACCCTTTCACAATAAAGCAGCATTTAACTTGTATAAATGTATAAAAGCCACACACACCCGTATGAAAACATGTCGGACGATGAATCAAACGCACCTCATTGAGCTCAGATTGATGTGTCACCGGGTTTGTTTCATTTCAACGCCCTCTGGTTTGACCCCCCCCTTTCTAAAAACACTCCCTGCGGGTGCTAATTTTAAAGTGCTGCTCCTCACATGCAAGATGACATCGTCAGGCTCCACTTCCCCAAATGAGACGCATCGCCGCTTAGATGCTGCCAGCGTTTCCCCTCCGGTGATCCGTTTACACACAAAGAACTCTGAACTTCCTGCAGACGGAAAGTGAGTAGAGACCTCAGGACGAGGCTGCGTGTTCAGCAGAGACGCTCATAGTTATTACTGCATTCGTCACCGAGGGGATGTACACAGCTCGCTGTGTGCAGACGTATCGGCACAAAACCACAAGGAGGCACTCGTAGTAGCCGTGAGGTACTCAGATATACTCGTAGTAGCCGTGACGTACTCAGATATACTCGTAGTAGCCGTGAGGTACTCAGATATACTCGTAGTAGCCGTGAGGTACTCAGATATACTCGTAGTAGCCGTGAGGTACTCAGATATACTCGTAGTAGCCGTGAGGTACTCAGATATACTCGTAGTAGCCGTGAGGTACTCAGATATACTCGTAGTAGCCGTGAGGTACTCAGATATACTCGTAGTAGCCGTGAGGTACTCAGATATACTCGTAGTAGCCGTGAGGTACTCAGATGTACTCGTAGTAGCCGTGAGGTACTCAGATATACTTGTAGTAGCCGTGAGGTACTCAGATATACTCGTAGTAGCCGTGAGGTACTCAGATATACTCGTAGTAGCCGTGAGGTACTCAGATATACTCGTAGTAGTTGTGAGGTACTCAGCAGGTAGTTATGTTTCCATTAGGCAAATGAACAGTAACAGTGAACAAGCTGCTTTCTGCTTAGCGTGGGCACAGAGCGGGGGGGGGTTCGAGAGGGCAACTACCCAGTGGGGGTATTAAGCAACAGGTACCCGGAGTCTGAGGGGTTTGCTGCAGTAGAATGAGCGTTTCTTACAGTCCAATAACTTATTTGACTAAACACGAGGAGGGAATCTCAGCAGCAAAGTTCACAAAGTCTTTCGTTTTTTTCTCCTCTTCAGCCAATCAGCGATCGTAGCGCCGCCACCATCGCGAGCCCCGCGCTCAGCCCCGCCCACGAGGGTCCGGTGTTGGCCCCGCCTCCGTCCAGGCGCAGAGTGTTGTTGCAGGGTGGGGTTAGGTTTGCCGAGGTGGGGCGGAGCGGGACCCCGCCGGCGGTGGCGGGGACGCGGCGTAACAGGAAGTCGTGTTTCATGGCAGAGTAGCGATCGGGGCCGTACGGCACGCTCAGCGTCTCCGTCAAAACCTCGTGACCCGGGTACGTCACCTGTCAATCAGAAGAGTCGGACTGTGACACACTGCACGGCGGTACCGCTGCAGAAACACCAGTTATTGCTACTATGCTAAGCTAGTTAGCTCTGTGTTAGCTCAGATCGGACTTGTAGCCACCGCTATT